GAAAAAGAAAGGAAGGAAAGAAGAAAAAGAAAGGAAGGAAAGAGGAAAAAGAAAGGAATGAAAGAAAAAGAAAACAAAACATTATAATAATTAATTCGATGAGAGTGAAGTAAAAGTTAAGAACAGATTGCAACCAACCGTGTGCTAATACAAACAACAAACTAAACTAAATTACAAGTCTAAATAGCCAGTTAAATTTAGCTCTTAATATCACAAGCTACTTACTTGTAACTTGCAACAACAGCAATCTTCTTATTTTGCATAAAATGATTTCGAAGAACAGCAAATGATCGAAGTGACCAATGATTCAGGCAAATACTGAATGACCGAAATGATCAGACACTTTCAAGAAGAGGTCCAACCATTTCATCTTATTCCAGAATTAATTCGGACGAACATGCTTAATTGAGAGCGAACATAATAACGTGCTTAATTATATCAGTATTTTCTAATTTTAAAAACGCTTCCAACAACACTTAATATACTGTCTAACAGAGCATCATGGTTACATATCTTTTGCAATTGTTTTGGCTCAACAAAAGGTCAAAGATCAATGCCCATACTAAGAAGGATAAAATGCATGTAAATCGAACTAATCAAACTATCTTCTGACCAGACTATTTTAGTTGATTTTTTTTTTTAAAATTTTATATGTAAAAAAAACTAGAAAATTAAAATATGCAAAAATTGGAAAATTAAAATATAAATGCAAAAGCTAGAAAATTAAACATAGCGATATGATAAATATTTTAAAATGTAAAAAATTTTCAATTATTTTAGAAGCAAAAAAACTTTGAAAAATTCTCAATTACTTAGAAGTTTCAATTAAAAATTTTAATTTTCAATTATTTAGAAGCAAAAAAAAAAATTTTAAACTGCCCTGACAGTTTTAAATGTTACGAGGAAAATATTTTCTCGCATGAATAAAAAGGAATTTTTATTGTGCTCAATAATAAATTGTTAATATTTGTGATGTTAGAAAATGTATACAAATTTTGGGCTAAACAATTTTGTGTGCAAATAAAACATTTGTAAATATCAAAAAAAAGGAAAGAAAGAGAAGAAGTAATTTTAAAAGGGTGAAAATTTTGAAAAAAAAAAATTTGAATTTTTTGAACAATTTA